ACGGAGTACTAATCGGAGGATTGTAGGTTCGACTCCTATAGCACTAGGACATTTTTATCTTTGAGCATGCCTGTGTCACTCCCTGAATAACATCCTCTTTTACTTAAATACCAGGCTTAAAATTAACCATCTTCATTTTTATAGTTTCCAATTCACTTTTTAAATTCCAAGTGCTGAAAGAAATCAAAGATGGACTTGAACCAGCAGCTCGCTTACAAAATACGAAAGGAACTTTAAATAAAAAGGGGAAATTTAGAGAAACATTTACAACAAGATGGAGTAACGTGTTCATAGTTAGAACCTTCTGTTCCAACGAATACGAATTAAAGATTGGAACATTTGGAATAGACCGTCTTACCTCATCGTCGCAATCTTTTCACCATCTTTTGGGACATTGAGAAGAATAATCTGCAGGAGCTGCGGCAGAAATATGTCCATGGCGATTTCTTGCAACACACCACTTAGGCTGGCCTGTTCTTGTGATGTAAGCTTTTTCTTGAAAGCGTCAGACAATTGCTCAAAAGGCTCCTAAAAAAATTTTCCCCGAAGGTTTGTTTTAAAGAGGACCTGACTTGGACATACCAGTAGTAAAGTAGGGCACTCTTGCCCATAACCAATTATAGAGTTCTGCTTTGCACTACGTCACGCAAATGGACCAATCAGCGTTAAGTATTTTGACACACCTCCAAACTTGAAATGTAACGCACAATTTTCAGGTGTTTCAGGTGTTTCAAGTGTCACAGAGTCACGCACTAGACACACACTACTTTCTTTTTCTCAGGATGTGACATGCCGCGGTCCGCCCTCCATAAACTGAATTAGTTCTCGGAGGCAACTCGAATTGGGTTGCACTTAGCCAAGTAGAAATTTTACAAGTTATTCCAGACGAAATCAAGTGAGATCGATAGACCACTAAAGAAGTTGAAGTGCCATGGCGTATCGAAAAGACTATTACGTATTACAGCTCCCGCCATTGCACAGCCACTGACCTGTTTGATTAACTATCTTATAACAAGTTGCAGTTGGCCTATGTTTTGGAAGTGTAGCAATGTTTCCCCCATATATTAGAAGTCGGAAGAGACCGATAACGCTAACTATCGGCCAGTTTCACTATTGACTGCTTTTTCCAAAGTTTTTGAAAGAGTCATGTTTGATCAGATGTACGAGGCCTTTCGATGCAAGCTGTCTCATAATTTATCTGGTTATTTAAGGGGACACTCTTGCTGTTCAGCTCTACTTAAGATGACTGAGGATTGGAGGGCGAGTCTCGATAGGCGGGAAGCTGTCGTTCCAGTCGCGGTAGATCTTAGTAAGGCTTTCGACTCGGTGTGTCATTCACTTCTTCTAGCTAAATTGACGGCCTATGGTTTTTCAGGGAGGGCATTACAACTCATGACTGCATATTTGTGTGAGAGGAAACAACGTGTTAAACTTGGCAATA